TTGATTAACTTTATATGTAGGCAGTAATGCTACGTTGGTCTCTCGTTCGGATGAGATTTTACGTACTTTTGATCCAATTATCAAGGATACAATTCTTGATCAATCAAAAAAGGAGGGAATGCGAGTTTTAACTCGTGCTCATGTTAAAAGTCTTTCACGCGCTTCACCAAGTGGACCCATTAAAGTAGAATTCACATCCAAAGAAACCAACGATACATCCGAAGAATTTGATACCCTTTTATGGGCAATCGGAAGAGAACCAAATGTTGATGATTTAAACCTGGACAAAGTTGGGGTGAAGTTAAATGAAAAAGGGTACATTGTGGCTGATGAATATCAAAACACGGCTGTCGAAGAAATTTATGCTTTGGGTGACGTTTGCGGAATTGCACAGTTAACGCCTGGTAAGCTTTTGTTTTTTTAAATAATTGAATATATTGCGATCGGATTAAACAATTATGAATTTGTGAATCCATAGTCGCAATCGCAGCCGGACGTCGATTGTCGGATAGGCTTTTTGGTCCTTCAAAGTTTAAGAATCTTAAACTTGACTATAATGATATCCCTACCGTCGTGTTTCATGGAACTTGTGGTGCGGTGGGTCTTACTGAACCGGAGGCTCGAAAAAAATATGGTGATGAAAATGTTAAGGCCTATTCTTCCAAGTTTGTGAATATGTATAGCGCGATGACGGAGCAAAGTAAGTTGGAGATTGTTTCTTTATGCGATACGAAACATTTAAAATTAATTATTTTTGTTTATATAATAGAACCAGCAACGGCTTATAAACTTATTGTCCACGGTGAAAATGAAAAGGTTGTCGGTATTCATCTTATCGGAAGAGACTCTGCCGAAATAGTACGTACCATTTGCACATATTGTAATGGAACATGTTGATTTACATGTCATGTTGATTTATATAAATTTCTGTGATACGTATTTTAACAGTTACAAGGATTCTCGGTCGCCTTAAAAATGGGTGCTACAAAACAAGATTTCGATAATACAGTCGCGATACATCCTACAGCCGCCGAAGAATTGGTAAATTTTATTTTATTAAATGATGCGATTTATTTTACATATTCTATTGGATTAAGCTAAAAAAAATTCTTTCACGAAAACTTAGGTTACAATGAGATGAATGAAATGATTTCATTTCTTGCTAATTATTTATACACGTATCTATAGTGAATCGATCGAATTATATTTATGTAATACAATTATTATTTTGTTACATCGATTTTTTTTTTCATGATCGTTTTAAAATAAAATTTGATCTTTTTTTTTTTGGTATGACGTAATGTTATCACTTATATCATAGTTTTGTAATTTCGTAAGACCATATAATATGGTTGGTAATCTAATAATAGACATGTCAAATAATGATTGGTTTTATTGTCATAAAGCTATTTGAATGTGTTATCCAATTGGTTTTATTTATATCGAAACAAAAAAAATCTCTCTGGAAGAGTGAAGTATTTTTATTCTATTTACAATAGTGCCGCCGAGCAAGCCTATTTTAACCCAACTATTCTCAGGCACATCTGGTCTGACCTTGCATCGTTGACTCTCTTTAAAATCCGATGAGTAGTCAATTTAGTCGTTCGACAATTCCGATCCAAATGGCGGACCTAAATATATTAGACACATCTTATGTGTGGCTTTCCCTTTATTTTTTCCTTAATCTCGCCCTGACATTATATAACAAGGCTGTTATGCAGTTATACGATTTCCCATTTCCTTGGACATTAACTGGAGTGCACGCTTTATGTGGTGCGATTGGATCCTATTTGTTCTATTGGATGGGAATATTCACACCTGCCCGTTTAAATGAGCGTGAAAGTATGGTGATGCTGTTGTTTTCAGTCTTATATACCATAAATATTGCTATCAGTAATGTATCATTGTAAGTAATTTTATTTTACCTTTTTTTTTTTTTTCTTTTTTTACTTTATGATCTTGGATATTGTTAGCGCTTGGAGTATTAGTGGGTTTCGAAATTAGAAGTAAGGTAGTTTTAATTGACATTATACGGGAGTGTTCGATCCGATTTTGTTGATTGATTGATTAATTTGTCAATGAACAAACTACCTATACTCAATTGTTCCTCTTTTTTTTTTTTTTTTTTTTTTCCTTATGACACCGTCCGTTTCTTATGAATGAATGATTTAAAAGACATTTGGTTACTGTGCCGGTAAGTTATGGGATTAGCTCATTTTGGGGAAGGGGAAATTATCTTTATTTCCTTGAACAATTTTTAAATCTCATTATTATTGACCCGATTTTTTTTTTTTTTTTTTTTTAGTTTCATCAAGTAGTCCGCGCAATGACACCGATCTTTACAATCATTCTCTCTATTCTCTTTCTAAAAAAGAACTTTTCAACCAAGACATATATTTCATTGCTTCCGGTTAGGAATTAAAAGTTTTTTTTTTAAAAAAAAAAAAAAAAAAAAAAAAAAAAATTAAAAAAAATTTAATTTTTTGTTTATAGGTTGTTTTGGGAGTTGCGTTTGCAACGGTGGGTGATTATTATTTTACAAAAATGGGTAAGTGTGAATTGATCTAAAAAGATTTTATTTTATTTCCCTATACTCCCATGTTAATTTTATTTTTTCCACATTTGTAGGTTTTTTCTTAACGGTTCTTGGCACAGTATTAGCTGCTCTAAAAACCGTCGTTACAAATCGTGTTCAAGTTGGTCGTCTTAAGCTCCATCCCTTAGATCTATTGTTACGTATGTCTCCTTTAGCTTTTGTTCAAACCGTAATTTATGCTTACGTAACCGGCGAATTGCATAGAGTACGTGCATTTAGTCGTACCGAAATGACAACTTCCTTAGTTTTCGCCCTTGTTACAAATGGCGTCATTGCCTTTTTTTTGAATGTTGTGAGTTTCACGGCCAACAAAAAAACATCAGCTTTGACAATGACCGTGGCTGGTAATGTTAAACAGGTCTTGTCAATTATTTTGGCGGTTGTGATATTTAATTTAACTATAACGCCAACCAACGGTCTCGGAATCTTTTTGACTTTGCTTGGAGGTTGGTTCTCTTTTTATCAATACTTTTTTTTTTCTTTTCCAATCATTTAAATATTATCTTACTAATTATTCCCTTTAATCAATAATTCAAATTATAAAGGCGCGTGGTATGCGTAAGTATTGAAAATGATTAAATGTTTATTTTATCAAGAAAAAAAAAAAAATTGTACTTACAATCCTCGATTTATAATCTCTAGGAAAATTGAGTTTAGTGAACGTTACAAACCCGTTCCTATCGTCTCACCACCTCTAGGTCGATGATATCAATAATGATCAAATAAAATCACTGAGCAAACAGTTGAATTTGCTTTCATAGATCCTTTAGTTCTTATTTCTCTCTTTATGAACTTCCCGTTGAGGCGGAATACTATTTTTTTCCCACGCTAAATTAAAAATCGCCATTTTTTATGAGTCAATTTCAACATATACCTTCACAATACGCACGCACAATTGAATATATAACATTAATGACGAATTTATTATTATTATTTGGTCGTGTTTCCTGTGAGGGATTAGTTAGGATTTTTCGTTCTTTCATTAATAGATTTAAATGGGTAAAAAAAAAAAAATTTGGGTTAGACATTTTTTATTTCTGATAAACCTGGCGTACCTAAATGTACAAAAAAAAAAATAATAATTCAACTCGAGAAAAAAAAATACAAGTTTGAATTCATATTATAGAACGTAATTACTCATCTTATTAAACTTTAAAATCTGTGCAATAATTATATTGGATTTACACAGTTTACAATTATTTTATACAATGCTACCGATCTAGTAAATAATGACCCTCGATTCCTAATCTTTTGTAATAGTCTTAATATAGAAATTTATGAAAAAATTTTATTAGTTTTTCTTAATATGATAAATTAGTTTTAATCTTCATGTAATATTATTAAAAAAAAAATCGCATTAGCGTTAGATGTTAACGGTCTAAATTACCAGCCTATATAATGATATTAAATTAACAAAATAAATTTTATTACTCTTAATAATATTGAGATTCTTTAAATGAAAAAGTTTACCTATTATAAAGCAATACTTTAAAAATTTTACAAATCGTATATATAATTAACAATAATGACAAAGTTTTAAGTAATATTATATAAACAATATTATATATAAAAAAGAATTTAGGCAATTAGAAAGATCAAAGAAAAAAAGCAACTAATATAAATTAATGATGATAATAAAGTTAGTAAATTCTTTTGATATAGTAATACCTAATCTCAATAATCTAAAGAAATTATTAGCTTAAATTCATAATCTTCTAATAATTAGTTTTATTTTATATTTAATATAATTACAATTTCTGATAAAAGAATAACAATAAAAAATAAATGTTAAATAATCAAAATTAAACTTTTAAGAAAATAATGTTTTAAATCATTATCTTATAAATTATTTAAAATAATTTTAAAAGAATATTATTTAGAATAAATTCTTTTTTAACCTTCATAAAATTCAAATTTAATTTTTATTAAAAATATATTAGTTATTTTAAGAAAAAGATGAAATTTAAGAATTAGCTACAAATAATAAAATAATATCTTATCTCTTAGATTATCTAATAGGTAAATTTGCCTGTAAACTTAAAAAAAAATATTAATTTTTTAATAAAATATTAAATATTAATTTTAGTAATATATTATATGTTATTACATATAATATATAGAATTTTAATCAAAAATGTGATTTTTAAATTAAATAGTATTCACAAATACTAAATAAAAAATTGGGTACTATTTTAAGGAGAATACAATATACAAAGAATACTATATATAGATATTATAATTACATAAATTTAATAAATAAATATCAAAAAAATTAAATTTACTTTTCTCTTCTCATTATATACATAACCTTCTTTAATTTAGCTTTGCAAATATTAAAAAACTAATACTTTTCCTTACTTTATATAAAATTATAGAAAACATTCAAATAATAGAAAAAATTAATATTGAAACACTATATAAAATGATGTTATAGGTATTAATCAATTTTTATAAAGATTAAAAATATTTAAATACTATTTATGATTAGATTAATATGTATACTAAATAGTATTCAGGTATTAATCACAGAAGATATTATTTTTAGAGAATACTATATGTAGTGATATATTATAATAAGGAAAATTTAAATGATATATCTATATATTTGATGATCCTCAGATATATAATTATAATAAAATATTTATCACATTATATCATATTCTTTAAGTTTCTATTTTTACTTTTTATTCAAAAGACTTAATTTTTTTGAGTAATAAAATCTTATTTATTACATATCTATTTATCATGATTATAATTATTTAGAATTAGAATTAGAGTCAGTTAGAAATAGTTATTAGCATATTATTAATCAAATATCAATATACATCACATTATATATGATATATTAAATGTACAGTATACTAAATAAAAATTTTCATATAATAATTATATAAAAATATAGTTTAATGTATATATATTTTTTTAATTTTATTAGAAAATATTTTAAATTTATTAAAAAAATTTTTAAATAATTCAATTTTAAAATTAAGTTTAAAAAATTTATTATAACAATTTTTTAAAAAATTTATATATTTGCAAACTGATTAGAATTACTTTATTATTAATATAACTTATATAATTTTTTAATAAATCATAAAAATCATAATAATTTATAATATTCTATTATAATTAATATTATTAAAAATAAATTTTAATAAGTTTATCAAAAGTTAATGATAAAATTTTTAAAAATTAAATTTTTAACTTATAATTAATTAACTTTAGCTTTTTTATTATAATTTAAAAATAAAATTATATATTTTTAATTAATTTAAAAATATTTTTAAAAAAAGTTTTAATTTTTCATAAAGTAAATCAAAAGTGAATTTATAGTAAATAAAATTTGTATATATAATCAATTCTTGATATAGTGAACTCTTGATATAACAAATTTTTTGAATAAATATAATAAAAATACTCTTATTATAACGAATTGACTATTAAATCTCTTAAAATCTTTACTATAATCTTATAGTAAAGTTGAAAAAATTATTTATTTTTTAATATAGTAAATTTTTAATAAGTAGTAATTTAATTATATAAATATAAAATTAGAATATAAAAATATTCACAAATTTAAGTAATATAAATACTTAAAGGTTATTATTAAAATATATATACTTTAAGCTTTTTGATTATTTTTAATTTATTTTTATTATTTATAAAATATATTTATTTTCTTAAAATATAATAAATATAAAATTATTAACAAATCT